TGCTTTTCGGTTTCCAATTACTTATATCGGTCGCTAAGGAATAAATTTCCTCAATTTACTTCGCCTATTAGGGTCAATATTGCGCTTAGTAGGGAGGCAACTCAACTGAGCGATCTACTTACCGATTTTTAAGTTCCGTTACCTGCATGGACGATGCATTCAGCAAGTTTACACTAATCAGCCGACCATGACGTAGTACGGCCGTAGGACATGTCATGTGGGACACGACTGGTAAATTAGACGTAGGTTCTATGGCGGGCGAGCACTTAAGATAGCGAAGTACAGGCAAACGGGACCATCCATGATGCTAATCAATAACATGGTCATCGCTGATTATCTACAGTTGAAAGTTACTCCGAGTCATGCGTGACAATCGCAAGGCGACTGACTTGAATCTGGCACAAGTAGGCTAGTCAAATGATATGTTGACTGGCGAGCAGGACTCTGTCCCCCTTTGTTATTCGTCTGGCCCTTTTTTGATTAACTAGGTCCTTACCCAGAGTCTGCTGTTGTTAAAATGAAAGCCTCTTTCGTCTGGTAATTTCCGTACAATTTCGCTGAATGCGTAAAAAGACATTCAAAATGACACACAAGAGCTGTGTGAATGAGTCAGGGCCACATCGCGTGAACACAGTTAATTGGCCGCGCATGAATTTCGCGGGTGGAATAACATGTCTTACTCCAATACGGTAGTAGCCACTGTGAACAAAGACTCTGAAACCGGTGAGTATTGTCTGCTGGCTTATTAGGAGTCCCACTCAGACTTGAAAAGTGCAAGTTCACTGGCATTCCTATCAACTGAAGTAAGGATACGATCTTCGGGTATTGTATTACCTAATTGTATCCTCAATCTAAGCAGCGAATGTATGGAATATAGTTTTCATCATCCCCAAAGAAGACGATGAAGAAGGTTCAAGGACATGAACCGAGTTATATTGGGGCTGAAGCCCAAAGATTAGATACCGTCGACATAACAGCCAGCCGTGGTCTACAATATACCATGTCAAGACTGCGCTTAAACGGGCAGACGCCTTGGCACCAGGTTGCATGAGCACCAGCTTGCAATCAACCGCAAGGATAAGCTGTCTATGGTCTATGAACACGTACAGTAAAATAACCACACCTTCGCCTTCGACAATGCAAGGGTAATAGGCCGAGCCAATGACA